GGGAGCGCCGTGAGGGGAGGGACCCGTGTGGCCACGCCCCGACCCCGGGGAGTCCTTACGAGCTCCGAGCCGCACCGGCGGCAGCGACCCGGGCGCGCTGCCTCCCCCCTCTCCTCAAGCTGTTCCATTTCCACGGCCTCTCTCAGGCTGGAAAACGCCTCCGAGATCATCCAGTGCACCCCATGACCGAACACGACCGTGGCACATCCAGTCTTTCCCTAAACGCCTCCACAGATGGYGATTCCACCACCTCCCTGGGCAGCCCGTTCCATTCATTGACTCCCTGCTCCCCCGCGCCTGCCGCACGCCCGGGCACCCCGCACTGTTCCCCAGGGTAGAATAACGTGAGGGCGGAGCGGCAGCGGCCCGACCGACGACATGCACGGCCCCGGGAGCGTGGGGCGGCTGCAGCCGCGGAGGTTCAGCACTGCGGCTCCAACAGCGCCCTTTCCGCTCTGTCGACACCCGCGCAGCTCGGTCAGGGCAGCAGCAGCAGCGGCTCGGGGCGCACCAGGCGCCGCGGCGGGGCCCCCAGCCATGAGAGCGGCGGCACACGGCGGGCGCGGGGTGGGGCGGGGCGGGGCGGCTCTCCTCTCGCGAGACCCGGGCCGGCGGCCATTTTGCCATGGATTGGCGGCGGGGCGGGGCCGCGGCGCTGCCCGCGGGAGCTGAGGAGGTGGAAGAGGAGGTGGAAGGGGAGGAAGAAGAAGAGGAGGAAGAGGAGGAGAAGAAGAAGACGAAGAAGAAGGAGGGGGAGGAGAAGGAGGAAAAGGAGGAGAAGAAGGGGGAGAAGAAGAAGAAGGGGGAGAAGAAGAAGGGGGAGAAGAAGAAGGGGGAGGATGAGCCGCGGGCGTCCCCCCGCCTCCCGCTGCTGCTGACGACGGCGCTTGGTTCAGCCTGCTGCGGGCTCCGCGCCGCACCACCGGCCATGGTGCCCAACGAGGAGAACCAGCTCGTCCCCAAAGAGGTGAGGCGAGAGGCGGCGGCAGCGGCCCCGCGGCGGGCGGGAGGGAGGCCCGGGGCGCCGGCGCTGAGCGAGGACGGGGTGGAGAGGCCCGGCCCGGCCCGGCCCGGCCTGGCTCGGCTCGGCTCGGCTCGGCTCTGCTCTCTCCGTGCGCGGCCTGGCGGGGGGAGGGAGGGAGAGCGTCTTTGTGCGGGGCTGGGGGCGATGGTGGTGCGCGGGGGAAGGGGCTGGCGAGGAGACGAGAGGGGCAGGAAGCCGGGGCCGAGCTCGGGGAAGGCTGCACCTGTCCGTGCGGGGAGCGCAGGC